TGGACCACTGTACTATCCGCTGGTCTTAGTAAGTATGATTGATAGAATTAGCACTCTTAGCAGCAGTGTCCTTGCCTAAACTTAGTAAAATGGGACACAGCTTCTGGTGGACAGAGGTGAGAGGGCGGAAACCGAGACATGCCCTAATGTGCCCCGGGTCTCAAAAACATATGCTTACTCGGAATACTCAGTGTTACAAACATTCAGCTACAATATCATTCAGGAGTTTAAAAAAAGTAGTAGATGAGCAGCAGAAATGTTAGTCTATATACCGCAAAATGCACGACAAAAGGGCATGGCAGGACATGCGCATTATTTACAAACACATCAATACTATCCAAATGCTAATCACTATTACCTCACACAGACTGAGAGTGCATACTGGGTGCGACTCCTTAAAAGAGGATTCACAGGCAGTACTTATAGTACAATACTATCTACTGGCCTTAGTAGGCATGCTTGCTAGGAATTAGCACGGTTAACGTAGGTACGTTCCTATAGCAGCAGTATCTTAGTCCGATGGATAGAGTTGAGAGTGCGGAAACCAAGGCAAATGCTGCTGTGCGCAGGTCGCCAAGCATTTACTTACTCGAAATAGTTAAACCCAGAGTCACACTCCTCGTTGAGACAAAAGTCATATGAGCCCTAGCGTTGACTTAATCAGCGTCACCTCTTAAAATGGTGGCGTCAGTGCCAGCACCAGTACAACTACACTTCTTGCCGAGATTAGGGGATATGAGCCCAGTGCTGGCTTTAATCAGCGTCACTTCTGACTTACAAAACATTCAGTAATAATACCAGCAAATACTCTCACTCAGCTACACCCTAGTAAGTAGTATTAGAAGCAGCAGCATTGGTAGTAGCAGTACCAGTCCTGGATTCCTAGAGTCTGGCTAGACACCTTCTATAGATGAGTGAGGGCAGACCGTGCAGTAGTACCCGCGCAAAGTTTACTGTCACTAAAGGCTAAGTTACGCGGTGTTACAGACCGCATTGGGAAAGCGGCTTCCGCCCCAAAACCTGCTTCGGTCATCTCGACTTCGGTCCTGATACCAATCAAAGCGGTTAGAGTTAGAGTGAGGTAGACACTTGCGCGTCTTATTTCACTATAATATCGTACTTAGCTCCATTACCGTCTCTGCTCTTGAGCACATGGTGGACTTCATCGAAACCGATAGTCATACTACAAACTCATACACAACGATTAGGCACTAATTTTAACTGGCTTAACATGCTACCGATGATGATGTTAACTTCCACTAATTTGGTCCAGTGTTCGTTATATCAGCCTGTTCAGTCCAATGTGATTTTTCTCCCTTCTCCTGCTAAATACCATTTTACTAATGATCAGTTTTGCCATCACGGCGGTTCGTATTGTTTGCAAACATCGCTTTACTGCGTGTCTCCATCACGTAACAGATCGTGATTTCATCATCAGCAGTGTTGTTGCTGATTCGTGACTTGGAAAATCTACACCACTACTATCACCGAAGGCAGTGGTTACCCATGCATAGCTCTTTTGACTAATTTGTATTTATATGCAAAGTAATACCACGGCAATCTTTTGAATTCAATACCCTCCTCGGAAAAGTTTACCTTCTTCATTCCCGATCTCCGATAAAGTCAAGTGCCACCAATAAGCAATTTCAAATCAGAGTCGCAGTGCAGTCACCCGCTTTGACTAACTGCGTGATGTAGGTGCCTAGCTGCATAACGCCTTCGTGAACTTCACACCCAAACTCCTTAGACCACTCGCTTCTGTTCTTTCTCACAATAAAACAGTTTACGATAAGATGTTAGCTATCCTGTGGGGTGAAAATTCAGACCATCTTTTTGGGAGAAAGAGATGCGCTTTATTTTTAAATTATGATTCAAACATTTTTGGCAAATGTCATACATTCACCGTGAATAAAATTGGATGCCCAAAAAATATAACTCCGCGAGACAAAAAACGATGCATAATGACCAGAAACTGAACTGTCAAGAGCATGAATAGCCATCAGTGAATGAATCGTTAAATTTACAAGCGATTTGTGTCCTTTCAAAAGGTTGCTGGCGTACTGTTCAGGTGACCCCATTATTGTGGATTCTAGTAGAGAGAGTGGCAAACATCCGTATATAATATGCAATCAGTGTACACACCGGAAATTGGAGCGCGGAAACAGTATTAGTAAAATTTCAGAAGTCCATCAATATGATCTACTCGGACGTTGCATCTCACAGCCACAAAACCTGCTGATGCTACATCACATTCATTTAAAATCAGGGTCACTTAAGACAATAAATACGGTTCGGAAAATAAAGGCGATAGCTGCAGACCGCGACCGTCTCATCCATGATACTTCCAATCGTTTGTTATTCGTGATGAAGCTTTGCCATACTCTTCGGTACAGTGAGAAAAGAAAACTCATTGTTCCAATACAATTAGCAAAAATCATATATAGGCTTTTATAAACCCACCGAGGCCAGCTCAGTGGCACATGCACGCAAACCTCTCAACCCGCATACGGAATGAAGCCTGATTTCTGAGAGTTTTTTTTAGAAAGCGCATATTCAGCTATGCTGCAGCTATAAAAAACGATTTTATAACTTTCTGGAAGAAAAATAATTGGCCTAATATAAAAATAATAAGCTGACTGAAAAAAAACTTATTGTGGGCTTAGCAACTCATGAAACTTAGTGGCAGAAACATTCATTGCCTTGACCGTTGTTTTTGCTTTCATATTTTCACAATGATTTCCGAAGAATGTCATGTTTTCATGCAATGTAATTTCATGCTCGACTTAATTCGTTAATTTTGCTGGAAGTAAACCTAAGCTTATATTTAGGCAAACTCTTATGCTAGTAACTATATTAGATCATATGTTTGCACTAGTCCGCATTCTTCTACTAAAGAAACTTAATATTACCGTGAAATGTTTATCATAAGTACCTTTGCCCGTTTAGCCAATTTTTACGTTCAGCATAAATTAGCATAAGAGAGAATGAATAACGTAATACTAAGAAAATACGTTTAAAAAATGATATTTTTGAAAGATTTCAAAAGACCAAAGTGCATATCCTATCAAACCGGCCAGTAAGTTAAGGAAACCGAAAACCATAAATTAGTAACTGATAGTCAATGGGCGCCATTTTCGGCAACACTATGCAGTAATTTAACTAAATAAATATCTTCCCGATACACAGTAATCCGTATGCTTATGCTTGCATGTACCAATGTTATTCCTCACTGATTATTCACTGACTGGGCTGTCAAAGGGTAATCCTAAGAAAGCTGACATTCTGTGATCTCTGCCGGTGGACGCTATCGAAATCCTTTTAGCCTTAGGCAACCGAATTTCAAAATTTGGAAAGACGGAGATCGTATATCGCATTCTCATGTAGCCATGTGGAAGCGCAGTATGCGACTCAAGGAAAGTATTGAAAGGTCATACTATAGTCTATCAGCATTCTTAGAAAATAGTTAATCACATACTTGTTAAGGTGTTGCTGCTTCATTTAATGCCTGATTTTCATGGATGGCTTAATAGTGAGCCTATTCGTTTCCAAAAAAGATTCTTCGCGTTTGCTAACTTAATAGCCAACAGAAACCGAGAGCCGACCATATCAGCTTAATAATCCAATAGTTATCACTCTAAACTAGCATGGGCTACCATTGTGCTGGACTGGCAAGGGGAGCGTTATTGGGAATGGGCTAGTAAGAAAACTGGCACAGACGGGGTGTGGAGACCTGCGTTTGCGCAGGTTCACGCTGTGCCAGCCAATTCTGTCGGACCCCGCCTATGATCTTCTTGGCTGTTTATTAACATAAAGCTCAAGAGGGTGAACGAAAAGAGGGTGCGGTAGATGTCGAGCAAGTCCATTACCACTGTAAACCAATTCACTGTCCCTACATCCACCCTGTTGTGAAGCCCCACGATGGACATGGTCAGACTCGACGTTCAGACTGTCCTCGTGTCTGGTTATTACCTCTGATGCTGGATTAGAGTTTAAATTCAAAATGTGAAACGACTACACTTATTCCTTCGTCGACGTACCCCATTCTTATGAAGTACACAGATCATTTTCCCGTGAGCAGGACTCAGTTTGTTTTCCTTTAATTCTGTTAACTCAGAGACCAACCAGAGAAGACAGAATTTAATGCCAGCAGAAGAACAAAACACTGGCTTGTACAGGGTAATTCGATAGAGGCTAGGCAGGCCAGTGGATCCAGTGGCCACGGTTGTCTAGAATGCATTTTTAATCAGATTAAAGATGGAAATGGAGTTAGAGTTAACAGAAAGGAAAGCGGACGAGGAACAACACAACAGCCATTCTCCCTGCCCCGCGTGCAATACGTGCGCCCGTACATATTCCCAGCATGAAGACATAATTTTCAAAGACGGGCTTCCAAGAGCACAGCACTCGGTGGCAGAAGGAGAGAGAGGGGGGGGAAAGAAATTAGAGTTAACATTCTCATTGGAAGTAGGTACCCCATTCATAGGGGAAGCAAACTCAGTTGATGTCCAAGTCAGCACCACCTCCTCGCTCCTTAGAACATCGATGTTGACTAATAATAACAATGCGTAGGAGGAGCACTGGCGAGTGTTGCAAGGTGGAGTGGGATAAGGAAGGGCAGCGGATCAGGGGAACGTGTAAGAACTCCTAGTACTGTTGGTGGTAGGGATCGTCTTCGTTGAGTGAACGATTCGTCGCGCGATACGTCTCCGTTTGGTAGGCCACCACTGCCGTTGCTGCCGACGTCCTCTGATTGTAGCCCACGTTGTAACCGTCACGAGTATTGCCGCTGGGCGCTGTTACCAAACCGGTCGCATCATCTCCTCCATATCCGTATCCCGGCTTGATAATGTCGTCTGGCACATCACTGGGAGCATTCCAAAGCTTAGGCGTTTCGCCCTCCACCTCGGCCCATTTCTGCTTCTCCCCGGACGCGAAGATCGCGTAAAAGGTGACACCGAAGAAGTGGACACAGCTGGCAATGAGGAACACATAGGACCAGGCCTTCTTGGTCTACAAATGGTCAAAGAGGAATCACAAACTGAATGAATACGTACAGCATAAAAAATTTGAGGGCCAGAATAGGCATGTGTACAAATGAAGGAGAATGCTGCTACCACATGTATGTGGTGACAATTAGAAACTCTCTGTCGGGACTTGGTATTCAACTCAGTTGGGACTTGATTCTTTTGACTGAAGTCTGTTAAGTCATCTGGTTGACAGTGATTTCCCGTACTCACTCTTCGAGAATTGCTCAACGTACTGTGTGCGTCAGTTTGCATGATATTCAACAAGTCAATGCAAGAAGGCAAATGGCTGCAGGTATGGAAAACTACCTTTATCTCCCTAATCTACAAAAGAGGATCTAGGCTGAATTTGTAAGATGTGTGTCCCATTAGTTCAATCGGCATTTTGTTTGCGTATCTAGAGCAGAACACATGTGTTGCCCTGCATGGCTTTCGGCGTAGTCATTCAGATAGTACGAATGGTGTTTGCTCGCATGAAGAATAGCCAGGACCGTTTTATTGATGACATCTTCAAGAAGGCCTTTGATAGCGTTCCCCGTCGGTGGCTCTTACATAAAACTCCGTAATGTGGTATTTATGGTAACGGCTTTAAGTAAATTAGAAGTATCTTGTCATGCAGACTGCAAGATTAATTGTCGTTATCACAGAATCTTCTTGGATAGAAGCAGACAGCGGTGTTCCGCAGGGTTTGGTCATAGATCCTCCTCCGTTCCCCTGTTCTATAAACGACTGCACTGAAAAGCTGTACCATGACACTATCATGTTTGCAGATGATAACAAAATCCGGAAAACAACTTGCTCTGTTAATGACGCGCATGAACTACAAGAAGAGGTTGGTAAACTGGCTTTCTGGCCCATCAAGCGGCTCCGGACGTGTAATATGTCAAAACGTTTCGCAAAGCACCAGTACTGTATGAACGATAGTATACTCAAATAAGTGGCCACGCACAAACATCTAGGTATACTGACAGCTTAAAACTTACTGCCATCTGATCGCTTTAGAAAGACCGTCTAAAAGGCGTCGAGCATTATGCACTAGATCATAAATGTTCTCGCCGTCTTTCCTTCCTATCTGTTCGTGCGGATCTTCTTTCTGGTCGTTAGACTTCATCTAGAATACGGCATGTCAGCATGAATGCCCCGAATGAAGAAAGACTGCCATCCGAACGAAAAGGCGCAACTATGGGCGACAAAACTGTTGGATGATCTTATAACTCTGTTTTGTCTAGAAAGACTAGTACAGCGCAGTGATTTCGTGTAGCCCACGGGCAAATAAGATGCAACTGGCCGTGGACATTCCGCATTATCTACGGACCTGACTGTTCACTAAAAGACAAAAATTTCTTCGCAGTAAAAATAGGACTCATCTGCGCGGTCATGCATAGAAGCTCAAAATCGAAATAACCGCGCCTTTGTTATGCCCAATGTTGACATTAGATTTTGTTGATGTGTTGAAACGGCAGTTAGATTGCTTCATCTTTTTCACATCCAATGACTCTAACTGCAGGAATATCTCTGGTCAGCCATGCACTTTACTTTATGATTCCAGTAATATATATCGCATTCCTACACATTCGATGTAAAAATGGTTCCTAAAAACTTACACACGATAAAAATTGTATGCTGCTTGCATATAAGCAGATTTGTAATCTCGACTGTAAAGAAATAGGGTCATCAAGGGCTCCGCCCATAATCCTCACATTTATGCACAGAACTCTGATTGTATTAAAGTCGTGCTTTTTCAGCCATGGATTTCAATCCCGTTGTGACCGACGATATTTTAAAGGCGGGTCAGTCAAAACAGAGCATGCTCTAAGTGGCACAGCAATCCTCTATGCACTCATATTCATCGCATTCGACAGACACTACTGTTATTGTTACATATTTAAGGCTCAGTCAGAAAAAGGACATATATGAGCCAATAGGATGAGCCTTGAACACGAGCGGGATATTTGACAAATTAACCAAGATATTAATAGCAAGGCAGTATGTTTTCATCCGAAGGAAATAAAGGGTCAGATATAATACATCTCTGCTATGCTAAAGCAAAAGTCTGTTATCAGCGAACCGTCAGCAGACACATAATTCAGTGCACGATGGTAAAATGCAGCTAAAAACTACAATTTTATTGCACGGATTTTTCCATTGATTTACGACGCCCGTATACGCCGAAAAATATTTCTTTTAGCACGCGTACCCCAAAATATGCTTTTCTATATATTACTCGAAAAAATGAATAGAAAAAAACATACCCACCAGTCCTAAAATAGTTTTTCGTTTCGCGAATAATTTTGAGCCTGATCTACTGTTGCACCTCAAATCAAATCTCAAATCAGACGCTGTCGGCGTCCTATTTTAGGAAACATCTTTTTACATGTTAGTACGAAAGGCCATATAGATCTCACAAAATGGACAGTGAATATCGACTACTTATGCTACTTAACAAGAAGCATTAGTAAACGGATTAGTGTTGCGCCATTAGAATTTGCTTTTCGTGGTCTTTAAATATTTCATAAATGATAGCTGTTTAAGACAAAATGCAAGTTTTATGGAGGAAATTTAACGAACTCATAATTTTCTACAACACGAGTACATGAAACGATATTGACGTTCACACTTTCTATAAATTACATGTTGAGTTATGCGGACGTCTAAAATAAAGTTAGGACAGTATATTAGTGAAATAGTGCTGTATAGCAAGTGTACTTTTTCATGCAGGCTGAAAAGCTGCATATTTC